TTGACATTGCTGAGTTTTATCGATTGCTTCTTTAGCCCTAGTAATCTCAGCATTATGGTCAAAACCATCATAGTTGTCTTTAATTAGAGTCTCGAGGCAAGTGTTCAAAAAGGCCCAGCTCACATCCAACGATAACTTATCCTCGAGAGCCTCATAATCCTTCTCCCACTGATCAACCTCAGCTCTGAACTCTTCTTTTTCTGCTTCCGAGGCATCAAAGGCTGTCTTCAAAGGAGCAAAAGAACTTTCCAAGAATTGAATTTTATCTGCAGAGGCGCGAAGATCTTCCTGAGATTGGGTGAGCGTCTGAACCAATTCTCCCGCGTAAACCTCTTTTTGATTGAGGAGTTCTTTTAAAATCCTTATCTCTTTAGTTGCCTTGGAAAGTTGTTCAGCAAAAGAGGATTCCAATATATACTTGTCCTTCCCAACCTAATTGGAAGAGGCTTTTTCAACCGCTAACTCGGTAGAAACCATCCTCATTTGACGCTTCAAAGCGTTCTTCTCTTCTGCAAGAACTTCTTTTTCCAGTTGAAGACCTTCGAATTGTTCCTTCCAATTGTTATCCTCAGTGCATGATTCCATAACTTGCTGGTCAGCTTGAGAAACGTTTTTCATAAGCTCGGTACCAATCAAATTAATCTACAAAAAGACAAATGAGGAAGAGTTATGAATGAGGAAGAAAAAAGAACATAAATATAAGCTTGTGCCTTCAAAGAAGAATGAACAATGTCATTCATTAAAGTCAATGAGTTGTGGCTTTCTAATTTCTTCTTCTCTACGGGGCCAATCAATGGCTTCAACCACATGTCTGCTTGACCAGATTTCCTCAGCAAGCTCCCATCTTCAGGGAACTCAATTACAACTTTTTTCATCTCCCTCCTACTGCTAGAAGGTTCGGCCTCTGTATGAGAAACAACCACAGGAGTAACAACGGGTGTAACGTCAGGCAAAGGCACTGAGGGGTTGATGGTAGATGAAGTTAGAAGGGAAGCAAGAGGCAATTCTTCAGAGACATGCCCAAAAGATTCTTCACCCTCGAAGCCTTGAGCGAACAATCTACCAACGGAACTTGGTGGGGGATCAACAACATCTTCATCAGAAATTATTAAAGGAACATTCTCTGGCTCATCTATGAGTTTGAAAGGAATTGCACTGGAGGGAAGGTCATGAGATGGGGGTGCCTCATCATCAGAAATCATGCGTCTCCTGACGCATGGCTTTCTTACCAAAGATCCTTCCTCTATTTCTTCTTTATCATTAGAGCCACAGGTTTCGTCAGTTTTCCTTTTGGAGGAAGAAGCACTCAGAATTTGTTCCTGAGCAAGACTCACGGAAAGTATAGTTGATGGAATAGATGCGGGGTTAATACCACGAATAGAAAATCCTAACAAAAAGGAAAGGAAAAGATGAGAAATTCTTGCGCAAACAAGTAAAAGGAAAAGAAAAACTATGAAGCTAAAATGTACCGTGTGTCTTCATTTCCCAACCAAAATTTTGGGAAAGAAATTTTCAAGATCTTTTGTCCATAGGGGCAACAGTTAACATCTTTTCTACCCAAGCACGAAAGTCGATAATCTCATCAAAGACTTCCATGGTTGCTACAAGACGGGTACGTGATTACATGAAATTATGTAAGATATATAGAAAAAGAAAAAGAAGAAGAAAACTTACATGCAAAATTCTATTTTTCTGGGAAAGACATAATTTCTTCACCCACTAATCCACTAGTGGGAGCAGTAACGAAACGGGCATACCAGCCACGGTCTCGATCATCTTGAGGGCTAACCAACACCCTCTTACTTCTAGCCACGAGAAAAAAGACCCCTTCACGAAATAGCTTGGGGGAGTAAAGGTGAATCAAGTGTCAAAAGATAAAAGGGACAGAAACCAGATCTGACAAATAACGAAGGCAAGCTATAGTCCTCCATACAATGGGGCCAATCTGGCCAAGACACACATTGAAGTAACGACAAAACTCAATGATTACTGGATCAATAGGAGGCTTAAACCCCAAAGTAAAAGGGTAGGTATAGTAAAAGGGTAGGTATAAACAAAAGAGTAACCGACATGATAAGAGGTGATTCTCTGATTTGGCACCAGGGACTAAAATTAGGAAATCTGGTTTCCAATGGCACTCTCGTCGAACCAAGAAAAGAAGACCGGTAGTGATCAAACTCGGGTAAAGTTCAACAGGGTTGAGGGAAACTATAGAAGAAACTTGATTTCTCATGGTTTCACGATCAGTTACAAAAGAAAATTCTTGGGGAACAATTTTTGCAACTGTAGGTTCACACACAGGTTCATTTAAATCTTTATTCCTATAAAAAGATCTGGGAATTAAAAGAGCCCTAGGTTTAGAAGAAGATGGCCTAACAGAACTACTTTGAAGAGGAGCCACGGTTAGATAGTGAACCAAGACTACGAAGTCTATCACCTCTCCTACTTCTAGTAGGGGCAGTAGAAGGGGCAAGTTCATCAACAATTACAACTTTGCAAGGATTTGGCATTGTCGAAGACATGATTATCCATGAAAATATAGAGGAAAGGATGCAGAAATACAAAGAAAGAGTAATGTAATGGATGCTGAAGAAGGAAGACTCCAAGAAATAAAAAAGAATAAAGTATTTATAAGAAGATACGACCATCGTTAAAGAATGAAGTAATGTAATTGGTCATTATGAAGCATCTTAATGGAACCGTCACTTCATGACTGGCACAACCATAGGGAAAGAACCCTAAAAGGCGCGGAGAAACTGCAGAACCAATCGTAAAAAGCTACGTGGCGTAGGCGTTAAATAAATGTGACAAGCGACACATCGATTCTGAAAAAGACATGATGATGCTCGAGAAGCGGCGGCAAGGAATTCCTGCCATAAAAACTTACCACTTCCCAAATATTCAATTGAGAATATTCATAATGTGGGGGGACTATCTGTATTGGTGGAAAAAGTCATGACACGTGGAACGACATTAAGCTGAGGAGGCATGACGCGTGGAGCGTCGATATAGCGACAAGTGGCATTCTCAATTAAATGAACTAAGAATGCGCGGAAGGTATGGGAGAAACACCCACGGGGTAACATAAAAGAAAAGAACTGAGCATGACAGTTGTCAAAGGAAAAACAGGAACAAAATGAATGAAGATTGCAAAGAAGAGAAGATACATGAACTAGAAGTAAATAAGGAAGGGAAATCAGGAGTAGTTATAAGGAATCTTTAGTCATAAATATGCTAGTTACGGTTATCTATGGTAATAGGCAATCAATACAGTTAATGCCCTCAATTAGTCCAAATTAAGTATGAGAACGTTACGATTGTATGCTCATATATAAGGATGAGAATTCTATTTGTAAAGACATGTGACAATTATTACTAAAATTCATACTATAATTCTTTGCTTACTCTCAAAATTTTCAGCCTTGATTTTGGGAAGTGTTTGTCAATTCATTCCTCATTTTTCTTTGTTAATTATTTCCATCATTTCTTTTATTTGTCTTAAGATTATTGAAAAAGTGAAGTAAAACTTGATTATTAGTAACTCATTTTTTTTCTAGATATTGACTTTGACCGGAAAATCTATTTTTGGTTAAACACAAACCTAATCGAATTTTTTTAATTGGTTTGGTACTATGATTTTTCGGTTTAATGGGGTTTTCCAGTTCAGTTTGAACAATCCTAGTTTTGAGTTGATGAATTCACATCTTATATCATTGATTTCAAAAAATTAATTAATAACATAATATGATGAGTTGGATTTACTAAATCTTATTAATTTCTTTCAACCTTATCAAGTTCTATTTAGAAAACTTTTGTTTTTTTATTCTTCAAATTTTTGAATGAGATTCAGCCGTAACGAGAGTTAGGCGAACCCCTATATAGTCATACATTTTACCATCCAAAAGCTCAATATGTTAAGGAAGATGACGTAATATCAATGTCAAAATGAATGAAGAGCTTACATATATTAGTATTTAAAGATCTAAGATATTTAATTTTGGGATGCCACCTTATGACGTTTAAATTTGAACGAGTGAAGTTGCATTTTTTTCATTTAATTTGGTCTTTTGGACTCCCTCCGGTCCATAATAAGTGACCATTTTACATTTTTATTTTGGTCCAAAATAAGTGTTCATTTACATAATCAAGAAGAAATTAATTTTATTTTTCCAAAATTTGCCCTTATTTACATATTCCAATGTATCAAGCTAACAATTAATCAATGTTAATTTAGTAAATACTTCTTTTTTTCACTAGGAGTTCGTATTTCCTTAATGAGTATGCCAAAGGTAATAATAACAAGCATCTTTAAATGTGTCTAACTAGTGATTAATGAATGTGGTTTACGCTCTTGACTAATAAATTGGCAATTACATATTTTTAATGATATATTGATACAATTTTCATATATCCTCTATATATATATTTAGTCATCCCAATAGTTTGGGGTTGAGACATTATTGTATAATTGGTTGAAATAGATTTTGAAATTTGTTTTGGTGTCTATATGTCATCGATCTTATTGTCTTTTCTTATCCTAGGTTGATTATTAGATTGTTGAAAAATATGGATTCCCAGCCAACTTTCTTCCCCCCTCCTCAGTGCCAAACTAATGAAATCTAATGCAACATTCAGTCAACTCGCTAAAAAGAGCAAGTAATACATTACTCTTTTGTCCCCACTATAGAACTAAAACAAAAAAATTAAACGAGGAAGAACGATAGTAAGAGTAGCTAGTAATTAGTGGATCAACATTTTTGACAAATTAAAGTACTTGAAACAGACTGCAAGATAAAATAAAAAACTGACATGTTTTCCATAGATGGTCAACACCACCCATTACATTCGACACAAAAGGAAAAGAAAAGGACAACAGAAGCAATACTAAAACAACAAAAGGACTCAAAACATAAACCCTAAACCAAAGCCAAAGGTCAACAAACATAAGACAACAACAACGAAACAGCAAAGCCTCCAACCATAACATGGGCCCTCAAAACCTAAAGCCTAAGCTCTAAGTCAAGCTCCTCAACCTCCTCTTCAACCTTCTTCTTCCCATTAGTCTTATCAGCTGTAATAGTACTGGTACTCCCAGTGGATGAATGTGTTGATTCTTCACGCCTAGCAGCCACAACTTTAAAATAATTCAAGCGATTCTGATACAAAGCCAGTTGATTTTCAAGGCGGGCGATAGGGTCCGGGCCCTGAACAAGCAAAGGAGTCGCAGGTGTAGGTGAGGCAGCAAGAGGCACTTGCACCATCGGCTGCGATCGAATAATTGACCGTGGCCTGCCACGAGGGCGGGCGACAGGGGCCGGGGCTTGAACGAGCAAAGGAGTGGCGGGTGCAGGTGCAGTAGCAAGAGGCGCTTGCACCATTGGCTGCGGTCGAATAATTGACCGTGGCTTGCCACGACGACGAGCGACAAGGGTCGGGGCCTGAGCAAGCAAAGGAGTGGCGAGTGCAGGTGCAACAGCGAGAGGCAAGGCCTGGGCCGGGGCCTGAGCAAGCAAAGGAGTGGCGGCTGAAGATGCAGCAGCAAGAGGCAGGGCCAGGGATTGAGCAAGCAAAGGAGTGGCGGGTGCGGGTGCGGGTGCAGGTGCAGGTGCAGGTGCAGGTGCAACAGCAAGAGGTAGGGGCGAGGCCTGAGCAAGCAAAGGAGTGGCGGTTGCAAGTGCAGCAGCAAGAGGCACCTGCACCGTCGGCTGCGGTTGAATAACTGACTGTGGCCTACCATGACGGGGGCCAATGGGGGCCGAGGCCGGGGCCTGAGCAAGCAAAGGAGTGGCGAGTGCAGGTGCAGGTGCAACAGCAAGAGGCTCCTGCACTATCGGCTTGCCCCGACCACCGATGCGTACGGTGATAGACTTGTTGTTACGAGCAATGAAACGGTTAAGGTCGGGGAGATAATCAGGTGGCAAGAGAAACTTGTGGTGGTGACCTTTTACCCAAGTCCCTTGAACCTTATGGAGGTGTTGGTGTCCCGCTAAGGCCTGGCTTGACGAGAAGAGTTTACGGCAATTATCGCAGCGGTAAACTACTATCCCTTGGCCGGTTATCTTGTGGTTATGGGGTTCATGAGCCATTACGCTTATCAGTGGCTGTAATTTCTTGGGAGATAAAAAAGAAGTGTTTTTTAGAACAAGAAAATTTTTCTTTGCTTTGATGATTTAGTGAGGAAGAAGGGAAGAAATGCAAACGAAATATAAAGGGTAAGAATGCATGATAAGATGGTAACAATATTTGCATACTCGAAACATGGTAAGTAGTTAGATGTATTAATATTAATTAAGGTTAATTAGGTATATATTGGAATTGTTTTTCAAAAACAACTCACATCTTACATGTGTTAGATTATGTAAACCTTTTAGGCAATGATTTTTTTCTTCTTTTGCTATTAGACTCGTAAACTTAAGCAAAAAAGAATCTGAAAGAGAACAAAATTCAAAAACGTGAAAATTTTAATATTGATATCAGATTTCTTACTTTCTTCACATACTTTTCACGTTTGACCATTATTCTTATTCGTTTTTCTGAGGGGGTTGACGTGTATCATATCTGTTTATAGGTCAGCTAGTAACGGTCCTCTTTTTTTTTCTTTTTTTTTTAGTTAAGGAAAATAGCATTTAACTTTATTTTCTTATATTCATCCCTTAGAGTATGAATTTAAATGGAACTATAGAACACGCAATCAATGCCAGATTAGCACATCTCGGACATGCGGGCAGAAATAACCTTAAAAGTTAAAATGATTGATCTGGTTGTAAGTGTAAACTCTTAAGATTGCACAATCTCTTTGGAATTTGGATCTTTTTGTATGTAATTATTCGTCTAAAGATATGTTAGTATCTGTTTATAAAGGAGTGGTCACAGTTAGTTAAATTTAATTTTCACCGAAAAAAATCAAATCAACTATATATGAGTTTGTTATTATATACAGAAACCAAAAGGAATCAATTGAAAGTAACATAATGAATTGAGATGAAAGTAAAAAAGTAGAGTTTGGGAACGCACATTTTGGTTTACATGTAATGTTAATAACAATGAGAAATGATTTAATTATTCTAGCTTGATGAAAATGAACTTGTGATGCGTTGACTTTCCTTCAATCTTTCCAATATTAGTTGAAAATTCATGAATTAAATATATGATTTGCAATCCAATATTCTTATTTAGGAATGAAACAACAATAGGAAAAATAGATGAACAATATATTCTAGACTCGTATATATAATTGAAAATGTAAATACAAATTTAAAATAAGAAGAAGAAGTAGAAGGTGCATAATACACTCATATAGTAGAAAATGTAAATACAAAAAAATAGTAGAAATTGAAAATAAAACACTCATATTGTAGACAATGTAAAATCAAATAACGGAGAAAATAATCTTTGCACAACACACATAAAAAAGTTTTAAAATCGTCAAAGCTAAACTCCTACAAATTAATGTTGTTTATACATATCTCCATATATACAATTTCAATGGTATTTTTCAGCAATTTCCATCAAACGAGAGCAGAATTCTTGAGTTTTAGAGAACATGACCATATGATCTGAACCTAAAATAACCTTCACATCTTGTGGTGGATTCTTCTCAATCATCCATCGTTGAACATCTGCCTTCATTGACAGATCTTGACTGCACATAATGTAGACTCTTGGAATCGAACCATACTTTTCTTTAGTGAGTTCTGCTTCTTTTAAAACTTCAGGATCATGGAACATTGGAGTGTGTCGCATCAACAACGAAGCAAGGATCATATCCTGAGAAGAAGAACGCAACTCCCGATAATTAATGCATTCTTTTATTTGTGTTATTTTCTTCGATCGACTTACTCAAAATATTAGAGAGTAATGAGATGATGATGATGATGATATTTGATGAATTATATGTCCACTTATTATACTAGTCTCGATTCCTCAAGGTTGTACGAGCAGTAATAGTAGTAGAAAAATCTCCTCATCTAAAAGTTTATACTTTTGTTTATGTATACTTAATTATATTTTTAATAAACTCCCTCATGTGATGTCTTGATTCTTTGAATAGATCAAACATGTACTAAAAGGGGTGACCATAAGACTTTAACCTAGAGTATATATCTTCTCTAAATATATCATGTTGAAATTTGCGGTCATCTCTTATTTACAATTTTAAGTTGTTAAAACGAACATATTTTTATTTACTTAATTAATTCTTTTTATGCGACAAGAATAGAGGGAACACCAGCAACAAGTGTAATGGTAATATTTATTTTTATTCTAAGAAATACTTTTTATTTTGATCTACGTGAAATTTTATTTATACGGCACATAGATTTTCTTAAAAAAGCATTAGATGTTAACGCGAAGAATTATTGACAAAATATAAATGTGTAAAATGCACTAACCTCAGCTCTTGAGTATTGGTACATCTTTGACGACAGAAAATTAGAGCCGAAGTATACAGCCGTTGGGGGCTTATCAGTACCATTATCAAATTTGTATTTGTTGTCCTTGAGAAAATCCAACCCTTGATTTGACTGCAGATTGAGCAATAAAAGGAAAACAATTAGGAAAAACAAAATCAGAAGAAAATAATTCTTTTTCCAAATTTTAATTAATTCTCAATAAACGTTTACCATCTTGAACTACTTTGTGTCTGGCTTAGTTTATGACTATGTATTAAATTATACTACAGTTTTAACGCAAAACGTATTCAGTGTTACAATATTTAATAACTACCTAGTACTATAGCTTATCCTGAAAAAGTACATAATAATGGTAAGACTGTTTGTTAAATATTTGATATGACTTATCTTAAATGAATTCAGCTAACGTTTATATAGCTTCGAATTATTACAGCCGTAATCCATATAGGAGTATAGGCTTAGTTAGACAGTGAAACAACGATCACCAAATAGTCCCAAGACGAGAATAAAATTTCTCGCTCAGAGTAAAATGGGAGTTAAAATTCCAATCTACATAGATTAGTTCCAGATCCGAAGTCGAAGACAATCTTGTTCCAAGGTCTCTTCGAGCTAGGCATGAGTCAATATGGGATTGTTGAAACACTTGTTAAGAACTAAAACAAAGTTTAATGCAAATGACATAGATAATCAAGCAACAGTTTACCTAGAACAACCTTATATAAAAAACGTTCTACTAAATTTATCGAGCAAAATAAAGTAAGAAAGAGATAATATATATACCTGTTGAATGATATGTGAGAAAGGGAAATCAGGGCCAGGCATGTAAGCAGCAACAAAAGCAGCAGCAGCAATTTTCTTTGGGAACTTATCCATGGCAAGGGAAATGGCAAGTCCACCCATGCCATGGCCGACTAGAATCAGCCGATCGTCCGGCGGAAGAAGCTCGACGACGTGCATCAACGGCTCAACATAGTCGGAGAGAGACTTGACTTCTTCCGATTCCTTATAGTGGACGCCGGAGGCAGCCAAGTCAAGAGCAGTGGCCTTGTAACCTAAGGATATCAACGTTGTTATTACCTTGTACCAACACCATGCTCCGTGTCCTAAACCGTGGACAAACACGAAATGCGACTTGATTACACGCCTTTGGCCTTTTTCCATATATGTGAATTTCTCTAATAAACAGGAAAGATCGAAATGGCTATCAATGTTTGATCAAATTCGTTATGCTTATTCTTCATATATATATATATACACTTCATTTAGCTCTTAGTTTTGTCTAAGTTAATGACAGACTTTTCTTTTATTTAACATAATAACTAAGGGGAAAAAAACAACTAAAAAAGATAGGTCCATAAATTAGTAGCTAGTAATTATTTTCGAAAAGAGTTGACTAGCTGATTATTATAACTCTTTCTTTACTAGTTAGTGGCTATGATGTAGGTGTTATCTATATATTAAAATAATTAAATTATTAATCCCAAAGAATATAAGGTAACGTGTCAAAGATGAATTTATTAGTCAAGAAGCGATATATATATATATATATATGCGCCTCATTTTATACCACAAGTTCAAAAGTCTTCACTCTTTTCTTAAATTTCGTGCCCAGTCAAATGAGTTCACATAAATTAAAACGGATGGAGCAGATGGAG